GTGTGTGAATATATATATATATATTTATATATATATTTCAAATTATTAAATATATGGCGAGTAAAAATAGTAATTAAGTGCGACCTCACTGCGCTAACAGATTAAGAAGGCATTAACTCACTGACCACACTCTGAACGACACGATCCTTGATTTATTAATTGCACAATGGATTAGATGTTTGGATTTGGTTCATATTTTTTGCAAGTACTTTCGGTAAAAACATTTACCATCCTCAGGCATAGATGTTTTTTTTTTTTCTCAAATTCAGATAACTTTCCAAGACGGAAATGAATGTGATACTTGTCGAAAGATGTTTTATTAAAAAATCTGTGCTATTATTTACAGTTAAGAATTTTTTGAATATTGTAGTAATGTAGATTTTCACAATTTCTATTATTGCAAGTGTTTTTTTAAATATATATATTTGCATACATATATGCACATGCGGAAAAAAAGGACAACATTTGTACATTGAAGCCAATTATTGGAAAATGTTGTAATGAGTTCAATTTGACTGTTGCATACATATTTTTCGCCTCCCCCCAACCATCTCTTAACGAGGAAAGGGATTAAGGACCGGATTTAGTACGGTGGGATAGGGTGGTAACCGCGACCGTGAAATAACTATTAAGTTCTTAGTATTAGTCTGAATAACTACTCTTTGTAAATGTATCGAGATATTCAGTCAGTTACCCATTAAAACTGCCATTAAATGCAGCGACCTCAACAATTAACGCTATATTAATAAGCATATAATCAGTACAGGCAAAATAATTCTTTTCAGGAACATATATATTGCCATCCACAGACAGACTGTTTCGCTGTATCACAGCTCAAACAGTGTGGCTAGACATTCGGTTGCCTTTAGCTAGAATCGAAACCAGACTGCATTGTCGTCAGTTGGAGATTCTACCACTAAGCCGTTAGGACACGGTAGGGATAAAGGTGAATTCATGCGTCCGCATTTTTAGATAAAAAAAAAACGGTGACGGAGAGAACTCGACTCGTTTTACCGAAGAGTTTTGCATTCTTCCTCCCCGATATATATATATATATATATATATATATATATGAAAAACATATATATGAAAAATATATAGAAAATAGGAAAGAACTTGTTAGGTAAATAATCCAAAGTTCTTTAGTATTTTTGTTATTATTTTTAAAAAATAGTGCTCGATACAAAAATGCTTATAAAAGGCGTAAATTTTAGAAATAAGTTATTCCAAAAAAAATTTCGCTTGAAGATGGAACAGAGCTTAGTACTTTAATTCAATTTAATTCAAATAATTTTCGGCTCTTGTTTTGAAACATGAGAACTCTTATGTAACGTGTTGGAATCATATTTTTTTAAATAAATAATATATATATATATATATATATATATATATATATATATACGTTGCAGTAGGTGTTAAACCTAAAATAGGACAAGACATGTGAAAGAAACGAAAGGATTAAAATGAAAAACGTAATTTCAAAAGTAACAGGTTCCATACATTTAGGACAGGCGTGTTTACTTGCTGGAATCTTTTGACGAAATTTAAAGAAATATGGTAAGAATTCAAAACTCTTCTGAAAGGTCGAACATCTTAAGGATTATTATTCTTACAAATTGAGAAATGGCTTAGGTCGCGTCATTTTGCGATATGTCAGCTCCTATTGTGTTATTTAACTTAAGAAATCTGTTATTTTTATTATTGTATTTTAGTCTATAAGAATTCGGGGATAATAAAGAAAGTTGTCGCTTCCATTTGAGCCTGTAGTTACGTACTTGATTCGTCGAAATACTGTGCGTTTATATGTGTGCCTATAAACTTTTACTTGGTTTAAGGATGAGTAAATACTGACCGTTTATATTTGGGTCTGTAAACAGGTACTTAGTCCAAAGCTCAGGTAAATATTGATCTTTTATATTTGAGTCTATAAAAATTTATTTGTGTCAGGGATGAGTAAATATTGACCCTTTATATTTTAGTCTATAAACATTTACTTGATTCGGAATGAGTAAATATTTCAGTAAGTTCAGTCCACGGAAGAAAATTTTTCCCATTCCAGAGTCCCTGTTTAAGGGATATGTCATATCAGATAATACTCAAAAGCCTTATTTACCTTTGTGTAGTTTGTATCTCCCAACAGACTATGAGATTTTTTTTAGCACTACCAACCTCAGGGATTGAACTTAAAACTGTCAGACAACTAGATAGGCAGATATTAAAGTTTTATTTGTATAAAGTTCTGATCTGATGGGGCAGCAAACTTCTAATTCAGATTTTATTTTCCATCTTTGCGTTGACGCACAGAAAAGCTTCACTTAATTCATAATTGTCGATGTTGCCTATGTCTCTGTGCAGCCTGTATTTCCTATTTTAACTACTGCGACTCAAATATAAACGGCCATTACCTAGCTATCCCCAAGGTTTACATTGCCCCTCCCCCACTGAGTCTTAAACGTCTCCTGCTAATACCTCATAAATAATGGAATTGTCCGTTTTTGATCACGTGAAAAAAAAAAAACATAAAAGTCATGTGAGAGGACCTCGAGGGTTTGAGGGAGAAAATGAAAACAAAAATGAATGAAAGAAAAAGAAGTTAACGTCTCCTGTTAATACCTCCTAAATAATGGACTATTCCGTTTTATTCACGGAGAGAATGATAAAAATATCAGAAACGCTACTTGGTTTCAGTGGGAAAAAGAAAGAAAGTAAGAAGGGACGATAGAAAATTTAAACATTTCCCGCCAATACCTTATAAATAATAAATATTCCATAAATAATGTACTATTCCGTTTTATTCACGGAGAGAATGATACAAATATCAGAAACGCTACTTGGTTTCAGTGAGAAAAAGAAAGAAAGTAAAAAGGGACGATAGAAGGGTTTAACGTTTCCTGCCAATACCTCATAAATAATGGACTATTCTATTTTGATCGCGTGGAAGGACGGAAAAGATATTATATACGCTGCTTGTTTTCAGTAAGAAAATGAAAGAATGAAAAATAGTTGGGAAGATAGAAATGTTTTAGGGAAATGGAAAAAAAAAAATTTAAATATTTTCATTTCTCCCTCTTTACGACCAGCATTCATATTTATGATTGTTATTGCAATATTTTGTTAAAGTTGTTAAGCTCAAATATTTAACGATGCGATAGGAGAATTTCTACGGATATTTTATTGTCGTAGAATTCACTTTCATTAACTGAGGAATTCAGATTCTTCAGAAATACAAATAGGTAAATTGTGAAATTTTCATGGATATTCCTAGTTATTATTATAGTTCTTTAGGTCTTTAATTGATTCGATCCTTCAGATCTACAAATCAAAAATTCGCTCTTGCATGGAGTATTGCTGCCATATATGGTCTGGAGCCCTTCTGTTTGCCTCGGGGTTCTTGATAAGCTCCAGAGGCGGATATGCAATATAATTGGCCCTGTCCTGACATCTCGTCTACAGTCGCTCTCTCACAGACGCGCCGTCGCCTCTCTCTGTCTGTTTTACAAATACTTTCATGGTAATTGCTCCGAGGAGCTGCATTCGCTGGTTCCCAGACTTCATAAATTCAAGCGACCTACGAGGCTGGCACCCCGCTCTCACCCTTTCACTGTCGAAACTCCTAAATGTAGCCGTCTCTTCTACTCCAATAGCTTCATATCTCGCACCTCTCGGCTGTGGAACTCCCTTCCCTATTCCAGTTTCCCTGAGAGCTATAATATCCAACTATTCAAATGTAATGTCAATCGACATCTCCAGTTGCCGTGATCTATCCACTATCCTTCTCCTCATACTTTCCTCGATCACTCCTATCTGATCTTGCTCCAAATCTTCTGTAACCCCTTGCGTCCTAGTGGTTTCCCGCCTTGCTTGGGGTGAAACGCTTAAAAAAAAAAGAAGTTATTTAGCAGGTACGTTACGCCTTTCCAATACTTCATAAATAATGAACTATTTCGTTTTGATCGCAAAGAAAAACGGAAAAGACATATCTGAGACGCCGAAGAAAGAAAGATGAAAAAAGAGGTGGCGATCACGCACTCGGGATTAATACCTGCTTCAATGAAATCGAACACCTTGTTAATTTCAAACCTTTTCATTTGTACCTTCTTACTTCTTTAAATATAGACCTGTATTACTACTTATGGTTGTTATTGCAATATTCTGTTAAAGATGCCCAATTATATTTAACGAGGCGATAGATGAATTTTCACGGGTATTTTATAGTCGTGGAACTCGCAAGGAGGTTTTTTTAATCATTTTAGACCCGTCATTCCTCACATATTGTAAGGGACCACCCTCATTCTCTTGGTATTCCATTAGTGAGATGTAAATTCAACTCGGGTAGCTTCTTCCCACGAACAGCTATTTTGCGGAACGGACTCCCAAGTGGATGTTTCCACGATCACTACAATCTTAACCTGATCAAATTTCGGATCAACACTTGTCTCCCACCCCCACACACACCCAGATAAACAGTAACTTTTACTTTGTAGCACTCTACCTTAAACGGCTCTTAGGCTTTGTACAAGATGAACACAATTACTTTACATGTCCACTCGATACATTGGTCATTTTCTGCATACTCAACTACATATGAATTAGATGGATCTGTAATCTAATCGATCCTGACTTGGCATCTCAGCTTCAGTCACTTTCTCGCCAACTTGGCGTGGCTTCCCTCTGTCTTTTCTACAAATATTTTCATGGTATCTCCTCTGGCGAACTCTTCTCTTTTTTACCGTTAAAATAGCTACATGCAAACACCACTTTTACTTCTTTTTTCACACTTCTCACCTGTGCAACTCTCTTCCGTTTACTTGCTTCCCTGATAAATACAATCTTCAAAAGTTTTAAATGCAACGCCAATCGCCATCTTCTGTATTCTTGAATCCAGTTGATCTTTTGTCCTTTCCTCAATCCTCCCTATACACGGTCTTTCATTCGGTCACTTTTACTCCCTGTAAACCCAGCGTAGCAGTGGCATTCCCGCCTTGCTTGGGGTGAAATGATTAAAAAAAAAAATAAAAAAGATACATAGATAGACATGAAAAGAACTTGGTAGATACATAGATACGACTGTGATAGATAGATAGATAGATAGATAGATAGATAGAAAAACCAAACATGTATAGACATGAACTGCCCAGGGTAGATTTGTAGATACGAATATAGATAGATAGATAGATAGATAGATAGATAGATAGATAGATAGATAGATAGATAGAAAGAAAAAACAAACATATATAGACATGAACTGCCCAGGGTAGATTTGTAGCTACGAATATAGATAGATAGATAGATAGATAGATAGATAGATAGATAGATAGATAGATAGATATGGAAGAGACTGGGATAGATAGATAGATAGATAGATAGATAGATAGATAGATAGATAGATAGATAGAAAAACCAAACATATATAGACATGAACTGACCAGGGTAGATTTGTAGATACGAATATAGATAGATAGATAGATAGATAGATAGATAGATAGATAGATAGATAAATAGATAGATAGATAGATAGATAGAAAGAAAAAGCAAACATATATAGACATGAACTGCCCAGGGTAGATTTGTAGATACGAAGATAGATAGATAGATAGATAGATAGATAGATAGATAGATAGATAGATAGATAGATATGGAAGAGACTGGGATAGATAGATAGATAGATAGATAGATAGATAGATAGATAGATAGATAGATAGATAGATAGATTGATAGATAGATAGAAAAAGCAAACATATATAGACATGAACTGCCCAGGGTAGATTTGTAGATACGAATATACATAGATAGATAGATATGGAAGAGACTGGGATAGATAGATAGATAGATAGATAGATAGATAGAAAAAGCAAACATATATAGATATGAACTGCCCAGGATAGATTTGTAGATACGAATATACTGATAGATAGATAGATAGATAGATAGATAGATAGATAGATAGAAAGAAAAAGCAAACATATATAGACATGAACTGCCCAGGGTAGATTTGTAGATACGAATATAGATAGATAGATAGATAGATAGATAGATAGATAGATAGATAGATAGATAGATAATGGAGATAGATGGGATATGGAAGAGACTGGGATAGATAGATAGATAGATAGATAGATAGATAGATAGATAGATAGAAAAACCAAACATATATAGACATGAACTGCCCAGGGTAGATTTGTAGATACGAATATAGATAGATAGATAGATAGATAGATAGATAGATAGATAGATAGATAGATAGATAGATAGAAAGAAAAAGCAAACATATATAGACATGAACTGCCCAGGGTAGATTTGTAGATACGAAGATAGATAGATAGATAGATAGATAGATAGATATGGAAGAGACTGGGATAGATAGATAGATAGATAGATAGATAGATAGATAGATAGATAGATAGATAGATAGATAGATAGATAGAAAAAGCAAACATATATAGACATGAACTGCCCAGGGTAGATTTGTAGATACGAATATACATAGATAGATAGATATGGAAGAGACTGGGATAGATAGATAGATAGATAGAAAAAGCAAACATATATAGATATGAACTGCCCAGGATAGATTTGTAGATACGAATATACTGATAGATAGATAGATAGATAGATAGATAGATAGATAGATAGAAAGAAAAAGCAAACATATATAGACATGAACTGCCCAGGGTAGATTTGTAGATACGAATATACATAGATAGATAGATATGGAAGAGACTGGGATAGATAGATAGATAGATAGATAGATAGATAGATAGATAGATAGAAAAAGCAAACATATATAGATATGAACTGCCCAGGATAGATTTGTAGATACGAATATACTGATAGATAGATAGATAGATAGATAGATAGATAGATAGATAGATATGAAGAGAAAAAAGATCTGTAGATCATAAAATGTTCTTTAAACACTTGCTATAAAATTTATTTTTTAATATTCTCGGGAGTTGACAACACAAAAATGAAATACTATTTTTCATCTTATTAAATTGTCTATTTACAATAATTTTATATTCGTTAAAAACTAACTAAAATGCAATATTTATTATTTGCCATATTAAAAAAGAAATATGAAAGCAAAAACTTTCATCCATAAATTTCTAAAAATTTCTATCAAGAGGAAAATAAGAAAATTTAAATATTCCAGTCGAGTTTGTTACTTTCTCTTACGCGCAAACAAACTTGGGAAAGAATATGAATTCATATCTTCTCCAGCCCCCCATCTATGGTTAAATAGCAGGACAGACTGATCTCTATAGAAGAAGGAAATTCAAACAACCCTGGATAGTATTAGGTTCCGTCTTTGCCCAAGAAACATCATTGCTGCTGCTGCTGCTGCTGCTTCTTCTTCTTCTTCTTCTTCTTCTTCTTCTTCTTCTTCTTCTTCTTCGTTATTACTATTATTAGTTTTTCCTTATTTCTCTTGTCTGCTCATTTCCTTCCGAAATGGCACCAAGACATTTTTTAGCCTAAGATCACACACGTTTTACATGGATAAAAAAACATTTTTTAAGGCATAGGAATTTTTTTAAGGCGTGGATCACTTCAATGAGTCTATCGGAACCTTTTCCAATCAAACCGAGGGCACTATCTGGAATTATTGATACTTTCATGTACCACATCTTTTAGATTTCCACTTGTATTTTTATTTATTTATTTATTTATTTATTATTATTATTATTATTATTGTCGTTGTTGTTGCTGTTGTTGTAATCGATTGCATTTTCTCATAATTGCGTTAGTTGTTGCTTACCTCATCATTATTATTATTGTCATTATGAATTGGTTGAGTCTGCTTGCTTTTATTGGTGTTCTTCTTGTACATATATGAGTGTTTCTTTTTAAATTATTAAATTTCTTTAAATTATTCCTGACAATTTTATGACTTCATTCCAAAATAACAAAAAAAAAACAAAAAAAAAACAAAAAAAAACAAAACAAAAAAAAACAACAAAAACAAAAAAAAACGTAAACTTGCTTTCCGGGAAATTAAAATATGCCCCGAAAATCTAAAAGCATTTAGCAAAGATTTTTAGCAGAATTCAAATTATTCCTTCATTAAAGATTCTGAGTTTTTCCACCGTTTCAAAACTCAATAATCCAATTTGAATATTGTTGAATATTCACCTGTGTTCTGCTCACTTGGAAAGCTCTGAACAGATAAGTTGTCTAATTTTTACTCGAATGCATTTTGTGCTCTCAGCAGTGTGGCAATTCGTTAGATTTAAAACAAAGAGAGAAGAAGAGAGAAAGAGAAGGCGAGAGAGAGAGAGAGATGGGGGGTGGAGAGAGAGATGGGGGGTGAAAAGAGAGAGAGATACCAGAGAAGAAAAAGCAGTATTTAGCGAAAACAGATTCAGATTCATCCTGGGAGTTTTCCTCATAATTTTCTTGTTCATTCAAAGATGTATTTAAAATGTACACGTGTTTAATTTAACTCCCCGAAATACGCTGAAATGCAGAGGGCATATTGTGAATTAAAACGGTCATATATGAACAATTTTATTTATTTATTACTAGCAGCATGGCCTGGCGTTGCCCGTGCTTGAGTCAAAAATTGTACAACTCATACAGCAATCACTATCACTTGACTTAAAATATTTTTGCCCTTCCTTGCCTTTAAAGGAGTGCCTTTTGCCGTGCTGATGTTGCTACATCGCTTATTTCTTGCCGATCTCACACTGCGAATTTTTTCTAAGCTCTATACTAAACATTAAATCAGTTACGAAAAAAGAACTAAACAAAATGAACACAAAACGATCAACTTTAAAAAAGGACTCGTAACTGGAAAAACTGAATGAAAAAAGAATGTTAACAACAAATACTTTTTTCACACCCAACCCAGTTCTGCGGAATAAGAATCAACGTTGAGTTTAAGCAGTCGAATGAGCCAATTGGAGTAAAGTGTCATGCAGATTTAAATTTTTCCCACTTGTGACGAATGCCGCTATCGATTTCTTTTTTGCATGCTAACATGCTAGTTAACATTCGTGTCAGTAAGCTGTTGGCTCTCACGCTGTCCAATAGAATCTTCCTGCCTATTCGTGGCAGCCAGCTATTGGCTCTCACTCTGGCCAGTAGAAAATGGCCGCAAACTACATGAAAAGTGCCGTAGAAGTATGAAAAAAATCGATTACTTCCAGTATCGATGGGAGTTGGGGAATGCAAAGTCAGTCTTGGCCCTTCCACTAACTTGGTGCAAATTCGTTGAAAATTGCGGCCGTGCATTCGTTACATACACACACACAAACACACACACACACGCACATACACACACATCCTACCTTTTATAGATAGAGATTTTTTTGCTTTCGTTTTTTTTGTTTTTTTTTAAACTACAGTTTCTAATAAAACTGAACAGACATTACTGTTGAACATAAATTATTCAATGTATTCTGAGTGATTTCAGCTTTCATAAAATCATTATATTTTCAAAATAAAAATTGTCTACACGTTTATGTTAGAAAAAATAGTTACGAAACGCCAGCACCGTCAAAGACAACTTCAGAATAGACTGCATCTATGTTTATGGTTAAACTTTGCTCAGGACGTACGCGATTCGAAGCCCTCAACGGTTCCATGGTAGTGGGGTCGTTTTTTTGGTGTCCCCCCACCCCCGACTATAATCCAGCTGTAGTCTCATATATTAAAACAAGGAAAGATCAGAGGCCACAAGCGATATAAAGTAAACATTTTCAGCTAGAGACCGCTGGTTCATTAAGATTATGATCAGTGAAATTAAAACAGGTAGGACACATCCACTGTGTCTAGTATTTTGATGAAGATGAAAATATTGCCCTCGCGGTAAGAAAAAGAAAAAAGAAAAGTGGGACACAATGAGACAGTATTCATAGCACACAACACCGAGAACAACGGTGTAACTCCGAGAGTGTGTGGCGTAGAAACTTTCTACCTAGCCCCACTCTAGAAATACGACTTACTATGGTTTGCCGTTGCTGCAAGGAGAAATATGCATCGTTTATTTTATGTTGCT